ACCCTGGAGCAGCTGCAGCAGGCGGGGGTCGTGTTCCCCCCCCCCCCCAACACGTGTAGAAGGAAAACACAGCAGGTCTTACCCACGACACTCAGAGAAGTGACACCACCATTGTTTTGACGTGACAGGTGTTCCTTATGACACACCGAGCACATGCCATTAGTCCTGGGATTGCCATAGAAACCACACCCGGTGGCGCAGAGCATAGGAACGGGGCTCTGATTGGTCTCCTGGGCCATAGTCTCGTCTGCTGCCCTGTGCACTGACCTGTAGAGCAACAAAGAGGCAGCAATACATTGGTCGGTGTCAGTTGCTGAGTGAAGGCAACATCGAGACAACGTCGACAATTCTCCAATTATGGCACAGAAGATCAGCAATTATACAGAATTTCCCACTGTATCTACACCACTACCACTCCAACACACTGTAACCTTTCGCAGGACTCCCAACTGCAAGCCAGTCTGTTAACTGTTAGCTAGCTAACATTAGATTTTAAATATTAAATGTCAGCTATTTCTACTGGAAGAAATGTGAGAATCAACAGAGATTCAGAAACAAGGACCAAAAAAAAAAAAAAACAAAAAAAAAAAAAATATCAAACCAACAATCTTAGATTTTTGGTCATGAAGCGTGTCCTGTCACGCTGTTTTGGAAACATCTGGAATTTATGTGACGCTGTTTTGGAAACATCTGGAATTTACTGACAGTGTACTTGTGGTCTTTTCATCCTCCATTAACCTGTCACAAAACTGTAACTAAAACTATATTCAGGTTTATAATTCAGCACAACTGTATTTAGTTTATTCATTGAGTTTAGTTAAGGGAATGATGACAGAGCTTCAGTCAACGTGACCTGAATGACCTCGGTATTTCTATCAACTATTCTGGAGGGCATAAAACTGATTTCCCTTCTAAAAAAAAAAATACTAAAAAAAAAAACCTTTTCTAATGATAAACATTACTAAAAAAAAACCCTTTTCTAATGATAAAATCAGTTCATATGAAGGTTCGTTTTGGTTCAAGCAGAGAACCTAGGATTCACATTTCAGAATATGACATCAGATCTTACTTCTATTATAAAGTAAGGAGTAAAATTTCATTTCTGGCCTCAGAAACGTCTGGTGTTACTCGAGGTCACAAGACTAGACTAGACAAGATCCGGTTTTGACCAGTTTAACAGCGACGCCAGTATCTGAGAGATAAGATAAGAGTTGAGTGTATTAGACTCAACAGAAGACAAAAAAAAAAGTAAATCAGGAAATCGTTGGTGTTACCCAACCTCTGGTTCCGGTGGAAGTTTGTTTAAAGGGTTTCCACGGTGAAACCTGTCAATGCCAGTCTGCAAAACAGACAAACTATCAATCCCAGCCATCATGTGTGTGCGTGTGGCAACTTTCCCATGTCACAGGGGACACACTCACTCACGAGTTAGCGCCACACAGTACTGCGAAGAACATGTCTATTTTTAAAATGGAACGCCCACAGCCATGCAGCCAGAAATGATATTGTCATCATCGTCGTAAAACGTGTTTGTCCTCGCCTGAGATGTTTGGAATGATCACCATTTCCTGGTACAGGCAGCAGCGATGTGACGTGGACGTTAACAGTACACGGAACGCAACGTTTCACAACACACCTCACAAACACAAACAACATTTGTTCTGTGATGGAATATGTTTCCTCAGTAGATGGACACGAATGAGACATTTTTGGTCATGCTCTGGATCCAAAGATATGAAAATAAAGAATCAAATAAAAGGCTGTTGTCTTAAAGTAATAGTTACAATTTGGGCATCAGCAGATGGCAGAGCAGCTGACGACGTAAACAGCGTAACAGGAAGTGTCGGCCGTCCAGTTCCTTGGAAGTTGAAATCTGGTTTTGTGTTGGTCAACTGAAGAAATCTAATCCTGCTGTAAATGTGTGGACAACATTCTGAAGTTAACAGTTGCCACATATTACACAGAAACTCAAAAAATATATACATATACTGCAACATATTTCCAGTGTGCTACAATGCAGTGACTTTTCATTTACTAGAAAAAAATTTGACTTTGTTCGACTATGTGACAGTGACTGGCAGAAAGATTCAAGACTCTTTAGGTTCCAGCAGAGGACTGTGAAAACAATAAAGCTATTGAAGATCTGTGCTACTTTTCCCCAATACAAAATATATGTTGTGGCTAGTAAAAACAAACTAAAACTATAGCTGTAGTGATTTCACAGTGGAGTTTCATTAACTTAATTCATTTCCTTTGCTTACTTTGGAAATGTATATTAAATCTATTAAAGTGAAGATAAAAAAAAAATTACATTTCATTTAAGAGCTGCGTTCAGCGGTTCATTTTTACCCTTGTGCTAATCTAGTTCTTAGATACTATGACCTGCAAAACAAAAGACCTTCACAGATACTGTGAATTGAATAGTTAGCTTCATGCTAACACCACCTCGAAGCTCAACATCACCCTCAACTCCACCTCAGATAATGAGGTAAACTCCTCACTCGGACAATAAACAGACACACACACACACACACACACACTCCCCAACACAACAGCTGCTTCTCGAGTTATCGCGTTGTGGTGACAAAACACTGGGCCACAGTCGTGTCACTGCCACAAATCCACCGAGTCATGCTAGCAGGCAAACAGCTGCTACTATCTGCTTTCTCTCTGAAAATAAAACGAACTGTGACCTCAGAAGGACGCGGCAGTCTCAAAGACGTACATTTACAACTATATACAACTACGAGATGTTAACCTACCTTTCTTATTTAAAATGTGGTTTTAGTCAAATGTCCTGACTGCTAACAATTGTTAGCCCCAGACTCAGCAACCGTTTGAAGCAATTCTCGTATTGACAGAACAGCAAAAACTGCTCTGTTGTTGTCGTTTCTTAGTTTAAGTCTACGTTTCAAAACAAATATAGTAAATGTGGCTACATTATCTTATACATATATTGAAACAGTAAACACCCAGGAACACTTAAGCTGAAATCAGTGTGAACTCAAGCAGGGGTGATGTGATCACATATTAAAGTTCTCTTTTAAATGCCCTTAATAAAAGCAACATCAAAGTCGTGCTGTAATAACACCTTTGACCAAATCAAACACGAGTTTCACTTCACTCGTTTTTAAGACATGCTGGTATTTTCGACTAACAAATGCATTAAAGTGAACAAGGATGCTAAAGGCTACCAGCTAAAGTCGAAACAAACTCCTCAATAAACAAAGCTACACAGTTAGCTTCAACTCACCCTCGAACTCAGGCTCTTCTTTAAAACTGTGGAGACTGGTCGTACACGTGTTTAGTTTTAGTCACCTATGTCGAGCCGTGACGGTGGCGGTTGATCGTCCTCTCGTCCCCTCTCTCTCACACACACACACACTTACTTACATACAAACATACACACACAGAACCCCTGCGTCTGCTCCGCTGGTGCTACTGATTTTCACTGACGAGACTCGAGTTTTTAATGCTTCTTTCTCTGCCGACCTGCGGGAACCGCAGGCAACAGCTGTGTGATTTGTCGCCCCCTATTGGGCTGTAAGCAAAGATAAGTAGAAACCGCAACCGATAGTGGCAAAAATGTAGTTAACACGTTGTAATCCACATATGATACAAAACATTGATTTTAACGGACTTTGTCTCACATTTTCAAATATCAAGAAACATTATTAATGTTAATCACATCATGTTTATTTGATTTTTATATTCAGACAATATATAATATTTAGGTTCTCAGCTAAATGTGTTCTAACATTTGCTGGTACTAATCTAAATAATGAGACCAAACTGTTTTTTAAACTTGCGACAGATGATTCATGTGTAAAAAAAAATCCAAAAAAAAAAAAAAAATCAACTATATTTGAAGAAGCTAAAGGGAAGTTAAGCCTTTTTTCATTTTCTAGTTGATAAATGTATCTTATTTATAGTTAAAATAATTATCAATAAATGTTGCAGCTTGCGTGGCGCTTTGGCCCAGAGACAATGTCTCTGTCATTGGTGTGGAACTCCAGGGTTCACCTCCTGGGCAAGTTCGAATTCCAGTTGGGCAGTTGGTACCTTCCAGTGGACTCACCACCCTCAGGAAGGTTCAGGGGGGTTGGTACGGTGCAATGTGATTTGGGTGGTGGTTGTGGAGACTGCTGCCCCCGCGACCCGGTAACGGATAAGCGGATGAAAATGAATGGATGGATGGATGTTGCTGCTTGGCAAGTTACACAGAGAAGATCGAATGTAGAAAAAACCCCCCAAAACTTTATTTCATAAATTGCCCCACAGGATTTACATACAATCAATGTTTAAAATGCAAAAAAAAAAAAAAAAAAATCACAAACATTTAAACAGAAGTTGATCTATTGTGATTGTCTTTACCAACCAGTGAAAATAGGATTATCTCTGCTGTGGAAAAACTCAATAAAAACAAAGGTCAGAAACATCCTTGTCTACCTGTCTGTTGATAAACAGACAGGCTCAGCTGCGCACATGTCTGAAGTTTAGACCTCTGTCACTGCCCTGCTTGTTAATTTAAAATCAATAAAAACATGGATATAAAACAGTGGGAGACTGTTGTTGTTTCTTTGACTACTCTAGTTCTTTTGTACGGTAAATGACTTTGTTTGAAAACTGTATAGTTTATTTCTTCAACACATTTCTATGACGTCAGTGCAAGAAGCCACCAGGCAAATATTTACAGACCTGACATTTTCTTTTCCCTCTTAGTTAAGTCCTAATCCGTTTACAGAAGGTTCTGAAAGACTGATGAGTCTCAAACAGGAAGTCAATGAGTCTCTGAATGAAGTTTTCACAGTAGAAAGGTCTTGGCTTCAGGTGCAGTTTCAGTCTCTTCTTGTTTTAGTGTTTCATCCAGGACATGAGAATTTTACCCAAACTCAGGCACTCTTTTTTTTTTATTATTATTCATTAATTAATGAGGCCAAATACATATTTACAAATGCTACTAAATGATACACCTGGCAATTTTTATATTTATTAAATTATTTATTAAAAAGTACTTTTTAATAAAGAGCTCAGAGGGCAGTTCTTTCGCTGCCCCAGCAAGGGCTCTTAATTTATCTATGGGATAATGTGTTAACAATTCTCTGTTGATAAAAAGTGAATTCTACCTTAAAACGAACGTGATCATGTGATAATTCTATTTGTTTTAAACAAAACATGACATTCAGCTGATTGGACTGGAAACTGACTTTTTAGCTGAGGTAAAGAGTAGTTATTTATTTTCTTTTAAGTATTTTTTTGTGAAAAATTTCCAAAAAAACGACACCATTTGCCTGGTGGCCTGGATATAACAAGACAAAAGAAGCTGTTCGGTAAAAAAAAAAAAAAAAGGATAGAAAACTTTCTATAAAACTACTTACAGCTGATATGTGTGTTTACATAAAGTACAATGTGTGCTGCAACAACCGAGAGTCCACAGAGTTCCCAGCAAGCACACTGAGGAGATGTAACTGAGCGTTACGGCTACGGCTGACCATGTCACTTCCTGTGAACACCCTGGTCTATAGCTCAGTATCGTTGTACTTCTGTGGATTGTAGTAGCCTCTCTTGTTCTGGTCTCCCTGCTGTCCTCTGTCTTCCTGTCCTCTGGTCTCCATGTATGAGTATGGTCTGGTGGGCGGAACCTGAGGCTCAGCACTAGAACTGGACCTGAGCACAGAGAACCAGTTTTTTTTAGTAAATATATATATATGCAGTGGGTACAGAAAGTATTCAGACCCCCCCCTTTAAATTTTTTACTCTTTGTTATATTGCAGCCATTTGCTAAAATCATTTAAGTTCTTTTTTTCTCCCCCTCATTAATGTATACACAGCACCCCATATTGACACCCAATACTGACAGGGGGTCTGAATACTTTCCGTACCCACTGCATATATATATGCTGTATATGTGTATATATATATGTGTATATGTATATATATATGTGTATATATGTGTATATATGTATATATATATATGTATATGTATATATATGTATATATATATATGTATATGTATATATATGTATATATATATATGTATATGTATATATATGTATATATATATATGTATATGTATATATATGTATATATATATATGTATATGTATATATATGTATATATATATATGTATATGTATATATATGTATATATATATATGTACATATATATGTACATATATATATATACATATATATACATATACATATATATACATATATATATATATATATATATATGTATATATATGTATATGTATATATATGTATATATATATATGTACATATATATGTACATATATATATATACATATATATACATATACATATATATATATACATATATATACATATACATATATATACATATATATATATATATATATATAGACTAATCAGTAGAGTATAGACCAAGTGTGGGCAAAGTTTTTGACTTGGGGCCACAATTGTCCTAAAATTGAACAGGGAGGCCGGGTCAGGAGCAGATGGAGTGTGAGTTTGAACTAAGATAGAAGACATGTAAAAGTCATGCTTAAAGGTTAAAATGTTAAAATGCTTTTATCATTTTCTATGCCATCTATTGGGGAAACGTAGGTATTGCAAGGAAAAGGCAGAAGTATAATGATTATAGAAATAAATTATATAATTTGGAAAAGTTTGGCGGGCCGCATTAAAAAGCTGAACGGACCGCATCCAGTTCCCCGGGCCCTTAGTCTGCCCATGCCTGGTATAGACTGTGTGCTTGAGGGAGATGTTCTTACCCAATGGGCTGAGGGCGGTTCAGGTTTGGTTTGGGCAGCTTCATTGGGACGGCATAGATGTCTGGATGTTTCTGTGCAATTTCCAACTGTTAATGCAGTAAAAGCAGGAACCATGTGAGTCAGCGCTACAACCAAAATAAACTGCACACAATGAGCTTAAGTAGTAAGTAAGTAAGTAGTAAGTATGTTCATATTAGTTATGTTTGGACTCGATTTGAATGAATACTCCTAGACACATCAGGTCGGTCTGTGATCTGACCCTGGGTCAAATCAGTGGGGAATTCTTCAGCCAAACATACTACAATATTTATATATATATATATATTACAAATAACAGGCTTTTGTATAAAGCAAACATATTTGTCAACTACAAATAACAGACATTTGTATAAAGCAAACATATTTGTCAACATCCACGTTTATTAGACGATTCAAACCTTACTACTTGTTTTGTACAAATAAAAACTATGCATTTTTACTTGCAATCAACAATAAGAAATCTAAAAACTCTTGTTGTTTATCAGGATTATTAAAGATTTGAATCTGTTTATAGTCATAATTGTTTTCCCTCCAAATGTCCGTCCACTAATAATAATAATAATAATCACAGCAGTAACTGTCACCTACCCGAGCGTTCTCTGCCTCCTGCAACTCCAGTACCCTCTGAGCTCGAGCCAAGTGGTCCATCTTCTCAAAAGCTTTAATCTGACAAGAGAAAAAAAAACCAGAGATCACTTCTGACCCTTGCTGGTTTGGTACTGATGAAACAATAAAACCACGTTGACAGGGTGGGCAGCTCTGAAATGATGAACAACGATGGTGAGACAACACTGATGAAAGTGATGAGAGACAACAAGGACTCGGGGCATTGACAACATGTTCAGTTACCTGCACTCCTTCATTCTAGTGTTTTCATACGAAGCAGTTAAAGTCAGAATAGAAGGAACATTGAAGTAAAAGCAGTTGACCCAGAGAAGGACAAGATAAGGAAAAGTGTGAAATCTATCACACAACCTTTCCCAGGAAGGACTTGTTGGCAGGATCATCCTCCTCCCCCCCTTGTTTTACACTCTTCTCCTCAGAGGGCAGGTTCACACGGTTGAAGGTGGGTTTCACAGCCACAGGAGGAGGGGGGAGTGGTTTGTTGATGCCGACCATGTCAGTGCTGACGGTGCTGCTGGAGCTCCGAGTGGAGTCGGTCCGAGTCTGAGCCCGCACCTGTTCAGGCAGTAGAGAAAATGTTTTTTTTGTTTGTTTTTTTTATCTTGGGAACAACCATTAAAGTATATTAGTGTACTTCCTATAGTTTTCCACTGCCATCTGAGTCCACTGTAGTAAACCCAACCAAAGGATTCCAACTAACACTGTAGACCAGGGGTGTCAAACTCAAATCCAATAATTAATTAATTCATCCACTTATCCGTTACCGGGTCGCGGGGTCAGCAGTCTCCACCCAAATCACATGCACATGCACCGTACCTAAACCTTCCTGTGGGTGGTGAGTCCACTGGAAGGTACCAACCGCCCTAACCGGGATTCGAACTTGCCCAGGAGGTGAACCCTGGGGTTCCACACCAATGACAGAGACATTGTCTCTGGGCCAAAGCGCCACCCCAAACTTAATATTTATTTAAAAAATTAATGGCAATTGTACATGTTTTCCCTTCTCTCCAGATATGTAATGTACATTTTTTTTATATGGAAACAAACTTTAGTTTTGCTTAAACATTGAATTTGGAACAACTTAAGCTTGATATAATAAACACATGAGAAATGATTAAAATAAAACACACATCAGTGGTATTCGTTTCTTATTATGTCTTTTTATCTCAAGTCTTTCGAGTTCCTTTTTAATTTAAATGCCAGCATATAGCCCATATATACTGGCGGGCCAACTCTAGTACACTTTTGATATGATCTCGCGGGACAAATATAATTACACTGTGGGACAGATTTGGCCCCCGTGCCTGTGTTTGACACTTGCTGTAAACTGAAACATTTCCAGTAAATCACACCATTGCGCAAAGTGAACTCCCGATTAAATTGCAAATGAATCCCAGAATTTTAAAAAGTTTTTTTCAATGTACATTTAATACAAATGTCTGTAAACCGTAATATTAATAATGTAGTAAAAAATATTTTTTATTGTCTTTTTACTTAAGATTTATTTAAAAAATGATTTAATAATAAAGGAGGAAAGGACAGGGGGAGGGTCGGAGTGAGGCGTTCTCACCTTTGGGGGCTCAGGGATAAAAGAGGGGGGAGGACTGGGATCTCTATTCAGAACTTCTTTGCTCCCTGACCTCCTCCTACGAGGTTCAGGCCTCTACACACACAAACAAATACACACACACACACACACACACACACACACACAAACAAACACATGCACACACAAACACACGCAGGAAGGTTGTTAGTTTCACTGCAGCCCACACACCAGCACAAACCAAAATGACTGACAGTCTGTAATAACCTGTAATCTGACCTCATCTGGCAGCACTGGCTCTGACGACCGACTGATGGCCGACTTCGGCTGAGGTTCGTCCAGTGGCTCGTCGAGCTCATTGTCGGTGTAAGTCCCCCCCTCGTCTGCTGTGTCGTCATAGTCACTGGTCAGGCGGCTGTCCATGCTAAGGTAGTCTGCGCTCATGGCCGACAGGTAGGACATGCGGTCATCGTGGAGGTCCAGGTCCTCATCTGAACCATCCAGCTGAGAAGACATGCACCAGGGATTAGACTTTGTCAACAAAGTCTTTGTCAACAAGTCAATTGTTCTTTGTTGTTTCTGACATGGACTCACTTTTCCCTCACAGACCCACACTGCTCGTTCCTGCTGCTCCTGAATGCTGTCTTTCACACTGCCGTACCAGCTGTCGTTGGCAGAGTTCAGGTCGATAGTTGCTGCACAAACACAGAAGGTCAAACTTGTACTAGAGCTGAAGCTCAGGAGTCCATTTAACACAGGTTACAGCATGTTAATAACAGTGAGTCTTAAAGAGTGACTGAGTCCAGTCTGGACCGTACCGGTGAAAAGATGTGAGCAGGTTTTCTTCAACTTGACGGCCTGTTCGTACAGTTTGCGCGCGCTGCGACTGGATCCTGGTATAATGCGGTTCCTCATGGTTTTAACTCCCTGTTTGCTGTCAGGGTTAAGGAAGATGACGATTGGATACCACTGAGTGTAGTTCAGGGTGTCCACAGCTTTGGGGGTCACATCCAGGAGAGCGTGGAGGTCCTGAAAGAACAACAAGAAAGATGAGAGGTTCGGAATAGAGTTTTCTTAGTTTTCTTTTTAGCTCTTCTTCCACTCTCTGCACCTGTTCGATGATTTGTCTGATGGTGTTGAGTCGAACAACTCCAGAGGATTTTTCAGTGCCCGCATCTTTAGGCTCCGTCTCTGCACCAGGAGAAAAAAGAAAAAAACAACAATGAGTGAATTTATTCATTTGACATCAGAGGTCAACTCTACAGAGTTCCACCTGAAGAGCTCTTTTTTTAGTTCTCAGGGTTTTAAGTTTAAATCTTGATCACAGTAAAGGCTCAAGACAAGACAACTCTCCATTGTTTAAATCTCAGAGCTTATAGAATATTTAGATTATTGCTCCCAACAACAAGAAACTGTAGTTTGTAAGTTTGATCCCCAGTCATTCTGTTCTCCAGGTTCTTGCTTTAGACCACAAATGTAGACTGGGGATTACGTTAACTGTTCACTCTAAATTGAGCACTGGTGCGAATGGAAGTGTGAATGATTGATTGTTTCCAGTGATGGACTTGAGCATAAGCTGTAGCACCAGCCCTGCTCTACGTCTGCTTGGCTGGGCTCCAGACCCAGCCATGAAAAAAACTGTGATTTTCTATACGTGGCCCAGTGATGGACTTGAGCATAGGCTGTAGCACCAGCCCTGCTCTACGTCTGCTTGGCTGGGCTCCAGGCCCAGCCATGAAAAAAACTGTGATTCCCACTTAATCCTACCCGTGGTCACTTGTTTCCTTTCCTTCCATTAACCATTTTTTCTTAGCTCTCCTTCGTTTGTCTTTATTGCTGTTCACTATCAGACAAACAATACAACTGACCTACAACCTAGTATTAACAAATTATTTTGTTTCGGACTGAGGCCGAAGACTTACTGGCGATGACAAACAGGTGTGGCAGATCGTTGGCCAGTTTTTCATTCACAGCGTCAGAAATGGGTCCAAAGATAACAATGGGTCGTTTGAATCCAGCTGGAGGCCATAGAACAGAAAATCAAATACAGCCAGAGACGCTAAGGAAGAACAAACAACGAGGAGGAACAAATGTAAAACAGTCTGAGGGTCCTTCACATTTGACAGGAATCACTGTCACTGTTTAAATGACTTTGACTGAAGAGCTAAGCTCAGAATTATATCCAATGTTTGTGATGTCGCTCAGACCTGTTCAGAAAAAGGGGTTATTTCTGGAGCTACCTTCTCGTAAAACCACTCTCTCATAAGCTGGGAACTTGGTGGTGAGAGGAACAGCGCTCAGATCTTCTCTGCTCTTCCTCATGTCCTTCTTCTTAGCCGCCCGTTGACCCCTCAGCCTCCAGAAATCTCCTCTGTCGTTTCCAGCCGCTGCTCGGGCGGCGTTCTGAACGTTGGCCATTTGGTCAGCTCTGTTTGGAGGGTAAAATAGAACTTTTAACACATTTCATCTTCAATTTCCTTTTTCTTTCACTCTGATGCTGATGAACTATCTTCCTTCCTATCCTAAAAATTCAACTTCTTATTTCTGTAAGATTTCTTCGTCTAGTAGCCACATTCTCTAAAACTGTCTTCTGGATCTTCAGCATACACTGACTTGCTCAGGTCCAAACAAACCTGCTCTTGTTGGGAATGATTCCTTTCTCCAGCAGCTGGTTGTCACTGGTGGTGCGGATGGCCAACCAGTTTCCCAACTTTCCATCATAAAGAGTGTCCGTCACCTTGAAGATTTCTCCTCTGGCGAAGGGGAGACTCTGTGGACTCTCCTTCTCGTACTCAAAGTGGGTCCTGATGAAGAAGGAGTCGCCTCTGCCCGAGGCCAGAATGTCCTCGTACACTAAGAAAAAACACAAACCAATCAGGGAGCTACACTAAAGTATTAATATATTAAGGAATCTGGAGAGGACATGAACATTGTACTAATACAGAATATAAATCTGTGTAGACATGAATGAAAAGCTGTGTACAATTCATTCTAAAATCATATGAATGTATTTTCGATAAATTATAACAAGAATATAAAACAAAGCACATGTCTTCCCTCACAGTGAGACTATTCCGTCTGTGCAGCTCAGTACCTTCTGGTTTACTCTGGACCAGAATGGTCACGTCCTCTCCTTTAGGAATGTCCAGCAGGTACAGGACAGCATCTTCCCTCAACATTCCTCTGAAGTCCGTGTTGTTCACCTGGAACACAGGAGAAGGCGTTACTATTATGTCTGCGTTGAAAGCAAGAGCTGTACAAATAACATTTCATTATCAATTCAATCCATTTAGTCAATGCTGAAAAAAGTTTCACTCTCCATTAACATTAGGTTTTTTTTCTATTGTTTGGAGAGTCTGTTTCAGATGTTCGTCAGTGTTAACTTCGGACTGACGTCATCACGTGCGTCAACAGCAGCACTTTTAAACCAAGAGTTGGTTTTCAGCAGAAAATGTGTTTGACTGCTGGATTCTTCTTCTCTGGCAGAGGAGATTTTTATTTAAACGACTGATTTCATTCTGTTTTAATCATTGAAGAGTCACCTTCATGATCTGGTCTCCACTGCGCAGACCTTCCTGCTCTGCAGGACTGTCTTCCTGAACACCAGCGATGAAGATGCCAACGTCGTTTCCTCCTGCCAGCCTCAGACCAACGCTCTCTCCTTTTTGGAAACGCACTGTGATTGTGTTTGGTCTGAACAATGGTGAGAAAAAAAAACAAAACAGAGGAGAACCTTAGAACATCACCGGAAAAATCACAACAGAGGAGGGTTTCCAAAATGTTTGACACAAGCAGTCACTGACCCAAAGACTTCCTGGTCCTCAAAACTCGTCTTCACTGGGGCTTTAGACGGAACGTGGAACTTTGGAGCTGGAACTGCCGCTGGTGAGACACAGACAGGTGTTACCTGCTGCTCTGATTTAGTTCTTATCAGCTTTTTACTGTCGCTACCAACGTTTTAGAGAGAGACCAGAATCAGATTCAACAGACAGTTGTCAAAAGTCCAAGTCTAACCCTGATATTCCACTGACTGTGTCAGTAGGGCAATACGGCTGCGCCTTGGTGTGGCTGCATCTAGCACTTCTGTCTACATTCCACGAGGTGCGTTACCGCAGCAGCGCCTTGCGAGCCAGCTTAATTCACATGATATTATAGTAATAATTCCAAGTAGTAGTAGTAGTAATAGTTTCCGTTGCCTCCCACATGTGGATAAGCAGTTGTGTATAATCTGTTTCCTTTATTTTACTGATTTTGGCTTGCTTATTAAGTCCTACTCAGTTTTTATGTAATTGCACTGTAGCGGCGTTGTTAGTTATAGGGTTTTATTTTGAAGTTAAAGAGAAGTTGTGTGCAGATACCATGTCTAATGTCTGTTCTGTTGCAATCTTATCTGTTTAAATGGATGCTGCATCTGTCAGAAATATACTCGCCACCTAACCGAAGTGCTGCGGTCCAGCGAGCTGGAGCTGGGATGCACCTGAGACTGAGAGCACAGACTAGGGATGTAACTATACATTGTGAATTGGTTGGAAATTGATACAAATGCATGCCAATTCGCATTGATTCAAATGAAAGAAATTAATCGTGCATCGAGGTGCAGGGGGGGTAGGATGTGTTATCTCAAAATGTTACTGTCACGAGACTACACTAGGTGGCGGTATGCACCTAAAAATGTTGGTTGTGACCCTCTCTCAAACCATGAGGTCAGGTAACCTTTGTGACATTCAGTGTTCAAACAGAATGTGGGAAAACACTTCTTCCACAGACAGTGTTTCTGTAAAGAAATTTGGATATTTCTGTTATTTAATTAAAGTTTAAGAGGTACTACAAGACCATTGCAGTTGGTAACGGGAAAGTTTAAATAAGAGGCACTAAAAAGAGGCACTACAAGACCATTGCAGTTGGTAACGGTACTTAGCGTAGTTCATACAAAATAATCATCATTGCATTTGGTCATAATTTGTCTGGAGCTCATTTTGTTTAAAAAAAAAAGGGATAAAATGGTATTGTTAACAAAAAATGATATTGTGAGGGATAAAATAGTATTGTTAACAAAAAATGATATTGTGAGTTGAGTGCATCATCATATCCCTAGCAGAGATGCAGCATGATCAACAACGGAGGAAACAAACATGTTGATTGATTAGCCGGTGGAAATCATGGACTTCAGGGCTGCAGTTCACACTGGAATCTAATGGTGGTGACAATGTAGTGTGAACCACGCGCACACAACAGTTAGAGCTCGGCAGAAACAACCTCAACATTGGACATAAAGAGCTGCAGTGTCTTGTCACACTGACCTGGTGGTGACTGTGGCGGAGGCTCCTCCCTCTCTGACTGTACAAGTACGGTGTCCTCAGCAGCTCTGTCAGGAAGTCTGAAGGGTGTGGGCATAGCACCCATCCTTGTAAGTCTGTTGGGTGGCTCCTCACTGCAGTATCAACACAGGTGAACACAGGTGCCATGTTATCTATCTGTATTCTGATTTTTTTTTTTTTTGTCTTATTTTTTTTTGACCTGAGGTCATATAGTTTAACATTGTTTATATGTTTTTTTTATGTTAATCCACATCTTAAATGTTGGGGTTTTATTCTTTCCTCTGATGAAACCCAGCGAATTAATTAATCTGCTACGGCACAAATGATGGAGAATTATATACATATAATACAAGGTCAATGACTTACAGAACATTAAAAATCTTACCTGGGTTTCTCTCTTAGCTTCTCATTGGAGGAGTGTGAGGAAAGGTCAGAGTGGTGGCCGCCCCCTCGCCTGTCGTCCTGTGGTGAGTAGGAGCGATACGACTCGATCTCTGAGATATCTAAAGGAAAACAAAAGGAATGACAAAAAAAAAAAAGAGTAACAACTCGGAACCAATAAATGTCCAGAGTATTTGAGCGGTAACTTCTGTCAGGACATCAGGATTAAGAAGATAAAAGTGAATTAAGTAATACAAAATAACAAATGGACATAAATGAATTTTTTTTTTTTTTTTTTTTCAAATGAATTTGGTTTTAAATGACTCGTGTTAGCTGCAGGTGTGTAGTGTGTTTTAGAAGGACGAAGGTCAGGTCATGACTCACTCTGAGCTCCAGCTAATATTTTAATTATTAGTAGTTACAATAATAACACAGTGGGCTGGTGTTTATCAAGAGTTGTTCTTCAGGTATCCTGGACCAAAGACAGCAGGGTCATTTTCAATGAGATTAAGAATGACAAAAAAGAATAGATAGAAAGTAAGCGAAAGGGAGAGGGGTTTAAAAAACAAAAAAAAAAGGTAAAAAGGACAAAGAAGAGATGACGGACAGAGACGTGGGGAGGGGTGTGTCTGTGTGTGCCAAAAAAACTAACAAGCAGAGCCTAAAGCAGACAAAGTAGGTCACAAGTCTCCCAGCTATCTCACCCTTGCCCCCCCCCCCCCCCCCCTTCACTGATAACACTGACTCAGAACAATCCACTCACACCACATTTGTGGACTGATATAAACCAATCAAGCACAGGCCCAGTGGTCATGTGACATCAAAACCGGGTATAAAAGACAGAGTGATGATGGTGAATAAAGAGGAGTATGAACTGGTGAATTTCTGGTAAGCTCAGTGATGAGGTTAGTGACGTAAAATGAAACTAAAAACTGATGTGTGATTAAAAGCTTTATTTAAATGAAGGGAAATGAACAAATACAGAAACAACAACAAAGGCAAACACCAACACCACAACTGTATATATACAGTATATATACTGTATATGCTCAGATACTTTGTTGATATACCGTAACTACTAATGTATATTTCGATACTGTTTGATTAGCAGACGGTCACTGGGCAGGGATCTGTCTTTACACGGGAAAGGATCTGCTGCTTTTCAACATGGTTGGACTCTCACCATCAAGCTCAGAGTCACTGTCCACCAGAGGTGGGACTCGAACCAGGATCTTCTGTCTGTCCCTCTGCACCACCAGCTTCAGCTTCCCACGAGACTTCTCTATCAGCTTCCCTGCATCACTCAGAGAAAGGTTCTCCGTCACTGTGCCGTTAATCTGGGGGGAGAGGACACAGGCCCGAAGTGAGCATGGAAAAATACTCCTGCATGTCGACAGCAGAACAGTGCAGTTCCTCATGGGGAAAGTAGAAACAGGAAGCATCGGTGCTATTGAACCATAAAAGCCTAAGAGCCGAGAACTCAGTCAGTTACTAGGCCTGTGGCCAGGGATAATTGGTGGAGCATGTTGCCAGAGGGTTGCAGGTTCAAAGGCCACCTGACTACGATGTGTGAGTCACTCACCACCTACTGATATCTACAGAGGATGGGTGTCTGTGTGTCCGTAGAAGTCACTGTTCACAAAGAACTGCAACTGAGCAGCAAAGTATGTGTAAAGATGATGTCAATTCAACTTCTCTAAGGGATGCTGTTCGTTGAAGATCTACATTTTGAAACACACATATCTCGTTTTAATAAAACTGTGTTTATTTAAATATATTTCATATTTAAAGTCTCATGAGTTAGGATTATGTGTTTGTGTGAAAGAAAACTAAAATGTTATATTTAGGACTCAGATTAAGTCTTTCCTCAACACAATCTATCTATGGTACTGATCAATGAGCAGAAGGAAACCCAAGTACCCCTGAGTGAAGACCATGATCATGTGAGACTGCAGTATCTCTACCTTCAGAATGATGTCGCCCTCGTGCAGGTTTCCATCTCTGCTGGCCAGACCTGAGCTGCTCATCTCCTTGATGAAGAGCTGACTGCCCAGACGCAGCCCATACTCTGGGAAGAACGAAACAAAACACATTGGGGGCTGAGCAGGATCCAAACACAAAAGTGACACACACACACACACAAACACACACTACTGTAACAGATGCATTGGTACTTTCTAAAGTTCCACAGCACAGAAGAGTGAGAATTCTTGTCTAGAATAGAGAACCACACATTTTAAAAATGTGAAAATAATCTGAATTGGTTTTGAACTTTTGCAGCCCTCGAGTGAGAAGAGAAGATAATCTAAGCAGCTATGACACACTAATCACCAGATTCTTGGACCATTGCTGACCGTCCAGGTCAAATGTGTCTCTTGTGTTTTGTCCTCAGTCCAAAACCAAATGTCAGTGATTGTCAGTGTTCCATGTCTCTCACCTTCATTGGGTCTGTTCTTCAGCAGCAGAACACTCACTGGTTTGTCCAGTGGTTCCAGATCTCTGGCGGGTCGAGGAAGAGGAATGGGCATAGGAGGTGGTGACGGGGATCGGTCCAGACAGTCCCTGCTCCCACTTCTCCTGATGGGCTCATCATACTTCCTGGGATCGCTTGGAATCCGCTCTCTCCCTCGTTCAAAACTCTGATCCCGGCCTCCCCCCCGTACAGGACTGTAGCTGTCTCGTCTGTTGCGGCGGTCCGGACTATTGGTACGGTCCAGTGTCCTCTCGCTGCGGAAGCGTCTGTCTGGACTGTAATCCCTGTCCAGAGCCCTCTCGCTGCGGTAGCGGCGGTCAGGGCTTTGGTCTCGGTACTTTCTGTGCGGACTGTGCTCACGGTCCAGCATGTGTTCACTCCTGTAGCGGCGATCGGGGCTGGGCTCTCGATCAAGAGTGCGACCTCTGCTGCCATCCCTGCGGTACTGGCGGTCCGGACTCAGATCCCGCTCCATGTTCCTGCCACGGTCGTATTCTACATCGTAGTCGCGCTCATGAGTATGATATCCAGAATCCATGTAGCCACCACCGCGCTGCCTCTCCAGGCTGTGGTCCCGCCCGGCACTGTACACACTGCGGCGGTCCTGGTCGTAGTTGTAGTCGTCACTGGCAAAGACACGTTCACTGGGCGATGGAGGACGGATCATGACGTTGACAGGGATTTTTCTGGGTCTTTTCACCGTCTAAAGGTTTTGTTAATAGAATAGAATAGTCTTTATTGTCATTGTAATACGAGGGTACAACGAAATTGAAACAAAACACAGAGTATTCTATAATTAAAATATTTTGTTTATGAACTCGTAAAAAAACAACTAACGTTTTAATATTAGTTTTAGTTCAAAGGACATTATTTTCTAAAACCTTTCAAACCAGAGAGTTACAAAACAATTACCCCAGTGTGGGATCAATAAAAAAAAAAGAGTTCAATCTTATATAATCTAATCTACTCACCACTTTTGCCACTTTGCCACATTTTCTGAGAGTCTGCACAGCAAAGGTGTGGACTGCCCCATCCATGGCTACAGCATTTACCTGAATAACTCGGTCTTTCTCACTAAACAGACACACAGAAACAGAAAGCAAAAAAAAAAAACTAAACAAAACCCAAAATCAGAACAACATCAAATCTGTAAATATAAATAAATGGTTTTATAAATGTCAACAGTGAGTGTGTTGTAAATGTAAACTTTTGAAACATTTGTTGAAATAATGAAATTATTCACTAATCTCCACAAACGTCCACTCAGTTCCAAATTAAATTAGTAAATTAGTCCGTACAACAACAGGCCATCAGCGGGTCCTCCCTGCAGGACATCTGACACCACAATGGAAGTCTCTCCTGTCTCCTCATTGGGGTTGTCCCGTCCTCCAGACACTGCAATGCCAAAGCCCATCTTTGAGTCCTAAGACAAGAGAGACAAAAGATAGATGTCAAGAGCACAGATGTTCAATACCAATTTTTTTTCAGATCGCGTAAGAGTACTCACGCGACTACTCACCGATACCTAGTACCGATTTCAATACATAAAACGTTTCAATGAACACAATGCCAAATATCTTTTAATAAAATCATTACATTCTGAAAAAGGCAGAAGAGTCACCACAAAATAGTTTTAATGTTTATAGTATAACTGTAAAATAAAACACAAACAACTCTGTGAGATTTAGTATTTGTTTGAACTGCATTCAGGAATAGAAAATAAAACTGGCTTGATTTTTACCGTAACCTTTCGTAAAGTTCACTGTAGCACTAGCAATTAATACTCTATTTAGTGCACACAGTTTCGCTCCCTATTTGTGTTCACACTGTAGACTGAAAGGCGACTCTGTCACCACGGAAGAGTAGCTTTTTATTTTGTGTAGTCCCTGTAGCAATATCAGGTAGTTAGTACTACTTAACATTATCATTTTTTCCCCTTGCGTATGGGTGGCCGGCATCAGCAGCCTATAACAAGTTCTGATACTTGCCCATCCCTAGTCAAGAGTGTCTTTTTTTATTTGAAGAACATTTGAGATTAAGGGTTAGTTTTTTTAAGTAAATTGGAACTTAGTCGGTGGCTCTTTGGCCCAGAGGCAATGTCTCTGTCATAGGTGTGGAACCCCAGGGTTCACCTCCTGGGCAAGTTTGAATCCCGGTTAGGGCGGTTGGTACCTTCCAGTGGACTCACCACCCGCAGGAAGGTTTAGGGGGGTTGGTGCGGTGCAATGTGATTTGGGTGGCGGTCATGGAGACAGCTTCCCCGGCGACCCAGTAACGGATGAGCGGATCAAAATGGATGGATGGAACATAGTCTCAACTTAATCAATAGAACTATTTTAATTCTCGTATAATTATTTCTTAACTGTTTATAAAATATAAAATCTGATGAAATCAGCACTGATTGGTCCCTGCAAGATTTTGTCTTGTTTTGACTGGCTGACTACTGCATCAATCTATTTTGTCTTCACCATTTTGTCCCTCAGAACTTCCAGTTGTTATCCAAAATTATAACATCTCAACAGCAATTCGGAATCTTTTATTCCCTGTCTGACTGATCTCAGATTTGAATTTGACTCAGCAACTGTTCACTAGAAAAACATTGTCATGTATAATTTTCTTTCTAGTTCAAACAACTTCCTTAAATAGAGAGTCCTTTTCAGAAAATGTGTTGAGTCTCTGGATGATTTCTGCCATCGTTGCTGCTCCAATCTGTTCAGATGAGATTAGGGCAGATTTGATGACCCTCTCCCTTTATCCTCTCCTTTCTATCTGTACTTAAATGAAATACAATATCCTCTACATCTAGTGTGTTTGAAGCAGATGGTGCTGGAGAGTTGGTTTTAGAGACAATAGCAAATAAAAATGTAGGTGTACAGGACAAATGTATATGCATACATTTATACCTATACATCTGTCTCACTGTTTTAAGTTAATCTTATTTCTCTTCAGAGGTCATCAGAGGTATAATTAGTTGTTAATCATTCCCCTGTGTTTAAACACCACACAGATGTTTTGCCCCTCATCAACTCACCCTGTGCAGAGTCACAGTGTACTGCTCCCACACAATTTCCTCCATGACTGGGTTCTGGGAAGAAACAGAAGAGTGACATGTCAGGTTGGACTTTCCTCAACAGATACATACAACCTGTAACAAACCAAGCCAACTCATTCATTGATAACCTGTAACAAACCAAGCCAACTCATTACACTCTAATGTTGTGACACAAATGACAAGAGAAACCACAAGCCTTTACACACTGCTACAAAACAAAAACTGACAAAAATAGATCTGACAAAGAGAATAAATATTAATGTGGTAAATTGAATTGACTTCGAAAGAAAAACTAATAATGCAATTCAAAATAATTCAGGAGGAAATCAAGAGCCTTCCTCAAGATAGTTATGAAAACAAGTGGAATCAGAGATTAAGGTCTTGTCTTTAAATCATATTAAAATAGTGCTGATAGTTGTCCATTCATAATTTACACCTCCATCTAAGGTCGGAATGAAGAATTATTGAGTTGATTAATTGTCAGCTACTGTGTGAGTTTTCCACAAAGCAATTGAGTGATAAGAAACATGATAATTCGTTACAGCTGTTTGCACTTTTCGGTCACGGGAATTGTAAGTTCACTATCAAATGTGACGTCTATGATATTAAAAATAATAAATAACAGGTTCACAAAGAACACCCTGTCACATCCACTTGCCCTGACCAGAGATTGGAACAAAGCTGCAGCGATGGGTTTAAGTCTCACTCACAAGTCCCTGCAGGATGCGTATGGTTTTGACAGCGTGAGCCCATTTCCTGTGCAAACTGAGGACAGTCTTCATAGTTGGCAGTCTATCTGTGTGAGCTCCCCTCTGCTGATGCTCCTCTCTTCTTCTACTCAGTGCGAGACTAATGCGCACTCAGCATCCCAGCATCCACCACCACCAGCAGCAGCAAACTCAGATCTCTACGCATCTGCCCGCCCTCCTCTGATGTAACTAGGATTCAGCTGTCCTACATTCAGTACAAATCCTACAGTACATCCAGTACACCGTAAACAAATGCAGCCACATCAGCAGGGAACACGCAACGATAAACCCCTGTAAACTGTTGGTCAAACATGACAAACCTTCACTCTAGTTTAATGTTGGACTATAAATCATAACACATGGCACCTGGAACTAAAAGTTTCTAATATGTTACACTTCTCTGCAAACCATATGAAAAACAGATTTTACATTAAGAAAAAAAGACATTGTTCTGTTCAGTTAACCATAGGCCACCAGCAAATTCACAAGCTGCACAAAAAAAATGTCATTCAATTCATTTGAATACATTTGAAGTCTAAGACTAGAAAGAAAACATTTCTAAAATATTTCCCATTGGTCCCATCGTCTTGTGAATATTCTTTTGTACATAAAATTTAGGCGGAGTTGTACATTTTTTTGAGTGAATTCTTATTATTTTTCAAGTGATTGAACAGGTTATCAATAAACAAAAACTTGTGGAGTAGACTTAGGAATGACTATGATTATCTAAAAACAATAAAAAAACAGTTAGCATATCCAAATTACTGATCTGTCTGCCACTGGTTTTAAATTGACGGCAACTGTCTAAATATTTATTTTTAGTAATTTATCTTACAATACGAACTGAAAATGCCCCTATGTTTACAGGTGTAATACAAATATTTATAGTAGGGTTAGTCTGTTTTACAATCGCCTACTGTACTCGGGTGTCTAATGGCTCATGTGAGCCTTTTACAGGCCTCCAGTGTAAACGAAAAGCGTTTTTGAAGTAACTTTTTTTCTGACAACCACACTGTACAAGCCTGCTCTCTACCGGCCAACGTGCTAAATTACGCCATAATTGTTCAAACCGATTTACAAACAACTTTTTAATATGGAAAATTACTCTATAAAAATAGATTAGAAATTAATTCAGAATATGACTCACCGCACTGACTACGTAATGACGAAAACATAGCCAAATAAAACTTATATTACACCACAAAATTGTACAAAAAGACGCGACTTTTGGAATCAAGAAAAAAAGAGAAAATATCCAGACGATTAAGACCAAAAATTGTATCACGAAAATTTTTTTAGGAACGACTTTCTCCACAAATTTTGAATCGTTAACGTCCGTCTCTTCGGTTAGCTGGAGCAGGTGTAGCAGGATGCAACGGTTTTTAACTCAACTTTTTTTTAACTAAAACTCAACAGTTTCACACAAAACGCCCGCAGTGTGTGTTGTTCGTTGTCTTTGTGGTGGTGTCTTATGTTGAGTATATGTTGAATAAACATGTCGGTACTTACGGTGAAGTATTTATGGTGGTATGTGCTCAGAGAGAGCGCGCCCCCCCCGTTCACTGGCATCACGCTCTTAAGTTTGAAACGGTCCCAGACAAGTCCTCGGGATTTAAACTAGAGAAGTGAGTAATTCGAGTGAATTCTAAACAGAAAATGAACATAAGTGATGGGAATTTCCAAATATGTCCTCCCTGACGCCAATGTCCAAGGTTAACGACTTAAAACACACTTTGAGAGAAGACAGTAGCACCGGCTGCTCCTGGCTTGGCTCAGATTAAACCAATAGAAGACAGGAGACGGGGGGGCTACGGTTTAACTTTTCTACTAATATTTGACCGTGTGAAAAGATTAGTTGTTCCCGCCTATAAAACAGCAGTTTTATTTCTTTACAAAAACTTGAAAAGTGTGTATGTAGCAGTGACGAACGACGGTAAGAAAAACGAGTGTTTTCTTTTTAAAAAGAAAAGCGTTTCACCCCTCTCCCATTATTGGGATGGATGAGTCCAAAAATAATTGATTTTGAGAGAACCTGGTTCTTTAACCCACAAAAGCACTTACAAATACAGAAATGTCTTATGAAATAATGAATTGCTTAAGTTTTTAATAATTTGTAAAAACTGGCAAATGCACTTACTATGTCCTCTTAAATGGCAACACTTTGGTCGTTTGGGGTCGAATTATAACCCACTTTAAAATAATCAAGTATATACTGTCAATCAATTATGCATTACATTACTTATGTGAATGTCAAATTCATTTAAAAAAGACTTGGAATTTAGGGCCAATATACACCATTTATGTAAGAAGTTGTAAAAAGTACCATTCAAAGTTTAATTTGAGGTCAGAATGACAAAAATCCCACAACAGTGGAACTTAAGATAGAGAAACAATGTATGGTATTCTCTTTGGAGTAGTCACAAAATACAGGCAAATTTAGACAGTCCTTAGCGTGTACGACAACCGGGGCAATTTTCAAGTTCAAAATTTTGTTCTTCGACAAGTGAGCTGGATAACCAAGGTTCCACTGTATTGTGGTTAATCATGCGACCATGAGTTGGGAAAATTTGCTTAGAATTTACCCCAAAACTCCCATTTAAGCAGAGTAGCAGCGGTTGGAGACAATCGGCATGATTATTCGACAAATGTCTGTGAGAAACAATTTGTTACTGTACTCCAAAAAAAAAACAAAAAAAACCTCAAAACTTCAAAAACTCTTTTTAACATCTATTAAGACAATCTTGTGTAGTCTGTACATAGCCTTAGCTGCTATTATCTCCAGAAACAGTTCTAACCAGAGTTCACCTCAACGTCTCACCCAAGAATTTGAATCACTGGATTCAGGAATGTATTCCCTGTGAAGGTAGGGTCCAGCCCAGATTGTGTGATAAGACCCGAGGTCAGGGCTCAGTGCAGCCCAGTCACATTCCTCCACACCAGATTACAGAGACAGAGAGACAGAGACAGAGAGGCAGAGAGAGAAAGAGAGAGAGAGAGAAACAGGAAAACTACCCCCTGCTGCAAAACAATGAAAACATCTTCACGGGATGCACTCAGTGGACGGTGTGGGAAATAATCATATAACAGGACGAAACAGCCACAGAAGAAAAGTAGGTGCTGGTATGTGGTTAGCCTCATATAACAAGAAGCTATGACAAATATGTTGACACTCTTGTACTCACAGCAGCTAAATTAAAGGTCTAGAAAAAGTAGACAGCCATGTGCAATGTTCCCACACTAACTATTACTATTGTTATGTTGTGTGTGTGTAACACTATCTAGCCTATGATGCATGCAATGTTCCCACACTAACCTCTATTGTTATGTTGTGTATGTGTGTGTAACACTATCTAGCCTATGAGTTTAAGCCAGTCCATTCCCGTTTTTCTTTTTTTAATCAGCACCAATCTAAATGATAAGAACATTTGCCAATATTAAAATGATCTAAAATCTCAAAATGTTATATTTTGTTATTATTCCTGCCATTTATATCACTACAAAATATTCTGTAATATGACGAGTGAAATCTTTGAAAGAGCTTTTTTCGGTTCCACAGTGTAACCACATGCTTGGCGCCTGCTGGGGGCAGCCTGTAAACAGCATATCTACTGCTAACACAAGATATAGTTCAATTTTTTTTCTTCAATGTAGGCCATTGTAACAATGCAGTGCAGGTCCACTGGACTGGATGATCTGTTCAAACGGCCAGTTAAAACAATGAGGTGCCTGGGACGTGACGTGGCCCTGGTTAATCATCCGTCCTGGACAGAGGAGGGAGGGGTCCTATGTTCACATAAGGAAACAGGAAACAGGAGGAACTCTGGGACACAATGAGTCACTCCATCAGCTAATCATAATAACAGTGTATCACAGGTCCTTTCACAACCCTCTAACAACATTTTGCCTCAGCTCAAATTCTCCTGAGACAATTTTTGTCTGTTCCTGTGACAAATGCAGATTTTTTTTTGTTTTTGTTTTCAATGAGATGTTTAAAGATTTAAGAGATGAGTTTGCCACATGCTCAGTTATGTAACTCCTTAAACGCAATCATATTTTGTATGACCCAAGTGAAAAAGGACAACAGTGTCAGAAGAATTAAGAATCGAACATGGTGAAAATAAATAAATAAAAATAAAATGTTTTCTCCTATATACATACAGTACATTAACTGTACTGTAGTTAATCATTGAATATGAACATGTTGTAGCTAGTAAGTATGCTTGTGTTTTACAATCATTTCTCTTTTGTACTTTGTTAATTACATTACAAAACCAATTTAAAGTAAAGGACGTGACAATAATATAATATGGGCTTTTCTGCTCTGTTTCCAAAATCTTCTCTTATACTCTGTTGACTCTGCAACATCAGCGAGAGAACGTCACTGCTACCAATGTAGAAACTGTCACTATCAGTGTCAGCATCTCCACTTCCATCAGTTTTCTGTACACGGCCACCTATAAATTCTAATGTGATAAAAAAAACTTCTTTTGAGAAAATAAAAAAAAAAGTTCCTGTTTTTTATGTTGTCACAGTTCTGTTAGTAATGGAAAAAAGAGTTGTTCTAAACAGAACAGAAATGGTTCCAGTTTGCAGTGGTTGTATCTTGGTTAACAATGAACAACGTACCATAGTAATAGCTGAGCAGCTGCGGGAGGAGAGGCGACGTAGGTACAAGTATTGAGCTTCTCTGGACCAACAGAACTTGCTGCTGCACTTTAGAAGATCAGTGCTGGTCCGGTCAAAGCCAGGCTGGTTCCTGTGGAAGACAGCAGGTTAATAAATGGAACAGAGCAGAGTGTCATTTGCATCTCAGCAAACTCATCATCTACTGTTCAGGCACTTGTACCAAGTGACATTTTGACAGAACAAATCTGCCATTAGTCCACACCTACCCGTGGTTTACAGGCTAACTCTGCCACAGCCCTATCAAAATACTGTATTACTTTATTGACTTTCTCAGTCTAACATTTATATATTTGGTTGTTACCATCAAAAACATACTGTAAAGGATTTTATGTTTTTGTCGGCAACAACAAAATATACTATATACATATTACATATGCAACTTTTGGAAATGAAATGTTTGCACAACATGTTGCAAATGTCCTTTCTCTTAATTACATTCATACTTTATGTAATAAATGATTCTATTGATTATTTCAACTTTTTGCTTCTCAAACTACAGTAAATTCGACCTGTCTGAAAATGAAAATCTAATCCAAAACGAAACAATGAAATAATTTTTTTAACAACAACATTATTAACAAAAAGTTGTAAAACAGGTAGGTGACATAATGTCACAGTTAAAGTCAAGTGACCTAAAAGGTTTGTTTACGTTGGTTGACCTAAAACTGTTCCAGAAACTAAAGATAAACAAACTGCTCTGATGACAGAGTAGGGGTTTCAAGTGTGTGTGTGTGTGTGTGTGTAGTTGGTCTGGGTAAGATATAGATTTTTTTTTTTAGACACATGTTGATATATTTCATACTCCTTATAGAATTAGGCTTTCGTTCTTCATATGGATATTAGAGCTATTGCCCTAAAATGACAAGAAATGAATCATGTTTAATTAATCATGAATTAATCACAAATAATAGTGATCAATTCAGAACTACCACAGTTTTAATCAGAATAAAAAAAATTCAACAACCGTATTTAATGTGTTTGCATTATAAAAGTATGTGAATGTATGCAAGCAAACTGCTCAAATATATTAATCAATGGTACCAATAATACCACGTTCAAAGAGTTTATCAGACACTTAGAGATTGTCTTGGACAATCTGACTTAGGGAAGGTAGTCACGATACCAGAATTTCCATGACTCTCGATAATTATTTGATACCACAATAAAAAACAAAAATAGGGCCACGTACTTTTAAATGCACTACTTTATTTTAAAACTGTTTCCAGCATATAAGATCACTGTGCTGCAACATATCTTTGCGCAGAAGTAGCCTCCCAGTATATAAACACAAACAAATACTGTGCTTATAAATATGGCCATAGCAAGTAAACTATTTTTCATTCATGAATAAACAGCAGCGGCGCAGAGGCTTCAAGTACATAAAAATAAACAGTATTGTTCTTATAAATATGCTAATATAAATCAAAAACAACATCCAACTATTTTACATAAAAAAAAAAAACATTCTGTGATTGTGGGCTGTGTTCGTGTGTGACTCTGCTCCCGTGTCTCCGGTCAGTAAGCTCCTCAGACTGATACTGTAAAAGACGTTTTAGTTAAAATAACATCAGCTCAGAGACAAACAGGTCAGAAACCATCTCATAGTATCAGGTTACATGACGGCATCGTTACATTAAGGCAGTATTTCTTTCATGCCCCCCGTACAGAAATGTTTGCACGATACCCCCCCAACCCATCTGTACAAACCACTGTATGAGTTGCTGCCACCTAGTGACTGGAGGATTGTTATCATTCAAGCATTAAAGCAGTGGTACACTTATGTCCAGCA